TGGATAGTGAATCAGGCTCACCATCGGAGGTACGACTGCCTTATGCATTTGTGATTAATGCAAAAATAGTACCGTAGCTTATTTTTGGATCGATTTGGGCTACGCGTTGCTCTGAGATTTGTTTATCGCTATACAGAACGAGCGAAGGATCATTTGATTGAACGCATTCAGACGAGGTCTTTTTCGTTTCGCTTGGACCATGACAGTCGCGTTTTGATCGTTACAGTACTCTGGTTTACCCGTCACTCAGAGAATGAATATGACGAACAAGGACGTTGATGACGAACAGAGGGGTTCCGAAGACAACACTGGAGAATCTCGGCAAGTCTCTTTGCATAGCTTTTCTGTTCATGGCTCCAGGGTTAGTGGGTCTTTTCGGCTTAGCGATAAGTCAAAGTTTAGCTTGTCGTTAATTAAAATGAATGAAACGCGATCTGCGAGAGAAAATGGAGCAGCAGATGAAAGAACTCCAAGAAAGGCATAGAAGCGAACTGCTAGCAGTACGACAAGATTTGGAGACTGCAAGGCTCGCAGAAAAAATGGTGGATAAGTCGAAAGAACCCTTATACAGTTACTTCACATCGTCAAGAGTGTGCCAAGCACGCAGCATGAACCAATCAGTGAGGGCTAGTGCGGAGCAACTAGACTTCGGACCAATAATGTGAGCCTAGGATTATTACCGGGCAAGGTAGGAGCTGGATTAAAAGAGATTGCCGGGTATGCCCTGCGAGATAATGGATCGGATACGACGCTTATTAAAGCGAGTGCACTACTTCAGTTGGGGTTATAGCATTTTTTCAAATCCTTTACCTCTTTGGCAATGAGATATATAATTTGATAATATAGAGATAATTTTAATGGTAGTGAAGTAGTTGATGAATCTATAGCAGTTATAAAGCTTTCTGCAGAAGGCTATTTTATGCATTTTCGCTAAAAATGTAAACACTTTACATATCATCAGGCCAAACAGACATTACCAGTTGATATCACGTCAGCCAAAGACCATTGCGCTGCTGCCACATTGTCGGTAAACTGGTTTCTTGGCAGCGAAGAGGAGGAAGAGGGTTCACAAGACGTTTATTACAGATTAGGTTATATCCCAAACCACTTGAACTTTTTTTCTCTTTTATTTTAATTTTATTTCACTGAATGACTTCTGCGCACTTATAACCCATCTTCACAGGATAAACTGAAGAACGCCAACACACCCCCAACAGAGGAAGCTAGGTGGCGACATCTCCCAGGGTTTGGTAAAGTAAGACGAACCCTAAATCATACGGGTAACAGGTGCAAACGGTAGCGCTTGCTCGCTGACCAGCCCTGTAAAGAGGGAGTGAGCCATTTTTATGGCTCACAAAAGGTTTCAGCTACAAACTTTTGTGCTGCCCCTGACTACGACAACAATGAGAAACACCAATGGTAAACTACCATTCTAACCCTGTACGCAATACCATCGGGCTTTTTAGCCCTCCCTAGCTAAAGAGTGTTGCCTAATATACCTGAGCTTACCCAACCGTGGGGTGATCGGGTTCAAAGTTAAATTCTGTTCTAATTTTCTTCTTTCATTCTCCTAGTTATAAATAATTATTTCTGGGATTCCAGCCATTTTGAATTAAAACTCTAGTTTGTCTGCCCTCTTTATTTGATTATTTATTTGATTGTTTGTGATAACAGAAACCTATATGCCCCTCAGATAACTCTTACTCGATGCTCCTCTTTAAACCAGATTTCCACAATGAAGCATCCGGTCGCCTGATGCTGAGGCTTATGTCATGCCAAGTGTCTTTGATGAAATTTTTTTTCCATATATGGAAAAAAATAAAGGCTATAGCCGTTATTTTGCTAATCTCGGAAATTAGCAAATAAAGCAAATAATTTACCCACATTATGCAATATCGCTATATATAAACGAGTGAGTATGTCTCCCTAGCTGACAGTTGCCATATATTCTAACCCCTCTGAGACTCGGGTATATCACTTGGCTTACGATCACTTCTACCTCACCAAGAATGTTTTTCTTCCGCAATTCATCGTCTTATACCGATTACTTTTCATATTTTTCATCTTTATTCATCCCTATACATATCTACGTTTATGTTGTCATTCCACGGAAATGTATCACTCTGAGTTTATTAGTGACCTCGAAGTTGAAATTGGGTTAGGCTACAATGTGAAATGGAGTGTTAAAACAACAACTTATTCCACCCAACAATTCCCTGTTATACTTCGCTTTCACAAACATCATGACCATTTTCCCAGATTTTGTTGTGTGTCATATGAGGCCATGGTTATTGTACCTTGCCTGCCATGATCGTGCACCACATGCATGTCTCTCGTTGTAATCCGAGAAATATACCATTATCATCATCAACAAAGAAACCATTCAAAAATAACTACAATAAGTGAATCAGTGGAGGCAAGCATTGTCAGCAGTGCTCCAACGACTGCGGGACCTGGACCTGTTCTCCCTGGCCCGCAGACATGCGAGGCGATCTTATAGAGACATTTAAGATTGTCAAAGGGCTTCCGGGTCTAAAGTTCCAAAACGTATTCTCTTTTGTTCCTGCCAGGGGCACGAGGAGCCATCAACTTAGATTGGAAAGAAGTCATTGTGAACTAAATGTGCAAGCTAGGTTCTTCACAAACAGAGTTATACCGCTGTGGAATAAACTACCTAAAGCAGTGGTTAACTGTAGTGATGTCGAATCTTTCAAGAGAAGGCTAGATGAATGCTGGGCAGTGGTATTTCATGAACTTGGGTGTTGAAAGTTAATCGTTAGGATATACTTTCCGAAATACTATAAGGGATCTCATACTGCATAAAAACATTCTGCCTTTCAGGAACTACCAGTGACTCAAAGTGTTGGAAGCCAAAGAAACCGCCGACAACACAAGGAACTGGACGCGCGATTGGCAATAGCCACAATTCGTCCTGTGAGAACTGAACTAAACTGCTTTTCAGGTACTACCTCTAAATGAAGCAGAATCAGTATGTGTGAAGCAAGCTGTTGTTATAAAAGAATTGCCCGGTCATTAGCCGGTTAGAGACATCTCTGAAAGGATAAAAAATGGCCCCATTTGGCAGACCTTCCAGTAGAACACTTTGATGGGGAAGTTCTACTATTTATTGGGTGTGATATACCTGAGGCGCATTGGGTACTCGATCAAAGGCTCGGTGGTCAAAAGAATCCTTATGCAGTTCGGACGCTATTAGGTTGGGTGATTTTTGGACCTTCAAGTTTTGCTGCGTATGAAATGCAATCGGTCAACTGCTTGGCTGCAGAAGACTCAAATTTAATGCATCATGTAATGCAAATGTACGATGCAGAATTTACAGACGCCCAGTTATTAGATCACGGAATTTCCGTAGACGACACAGGTGTTATCGCTATTGTAGAGTCCGGTACAATGTTCGTCGGTGGGCACTTCGTGGTCCCTCTGCCATGGAAGAAGGGTGTCAATACCGGTACGGGGAACTATGCGTCAGCGCACTCGAGATTGAACAACCTGAAGCGGCGCTTAATTAATGAAGATTCGCTACGGTTCCGCTACGCACAAACGATGAAGACGATTATAGAGAAGGGATATGCCGTGCCCAGGGGAACAGTTACAATGCGACTTTCATCCGCGTTAGTACCTGCCCTATCANCTATCATGCGGTATTAAACCCGAAAAAGCCGGAAAAGCTGCGTATAGTTTTGGATTGTGCGGAAAACACAAGGAGCAATCGCTGAATGACATGCTCTATCAAGGTCCAGACACCACCGCGAATTTGGTGGGTACACCTTTGCGATTCCGTAAGAAACGGGTAGCTGTTGCAGCTGACATAGAAGAAATGTTTATGCAAGTGAAGGTGCCAAAACATGACAGAGGCGCTGTTGCGTCCGCTTGAGATCGTAAGCCCAATACGCGTATTAAACTACACCAACACCGTGATCTAGCACGAACGGGCTTGAACTTCTGAATAACGATCACTGCTCAACTGGAATGAACAAATTCGCCCACACTGTCGACAATAAATTCCGCACTGGAACGAACGTATTCAACCCGATAACGAACAATCCCAAGTAACCGAATCCGACGAGAACGAGCAATAAAAACACGAATACAGACGGTAGACCACGACGTCTATACGGTATCTAAAACACATTATAATAAATTTTACAAATAGGAAAAATCATACTCGGATGTATGCTCACCCAAGCAGAACGCAGGAAACAACCGAACGAAAATGTACATCAAGCTCAACCGAGCTGACCAAGCAATGTCCCGGTTCGAATGTCGAAAACGTTATGTTGGAACGTTTAAACAAAACGGAAGGTACAAACGGCAAAGAGTGGAAATGACAGAAAACAAACAGTAGTAAAGAAGAACAGAAAATCTTTTGTTTTAACTACGGTGCATCAGCTAAAAGCCCACTGCTTTCCCTCTAGCCACGTTGTAATCGCCTCAACCCGAATATGATGGTTATTGATATATTTATCGGCGAAAATAGCTGACACAAATTTTATGGCACGCAAATATTAAAGTTTCACGTGCTTGTATATGCATTTCCCCGACCGTCTCACTAACGAAAGCCATAGAGTCCATAAAGAACCATGTGATACACGATTAAATTAATCTCGCAACCCAGGCTATTCTGGGAAACCAATTGCTGGCAAGAATGAACAACTGATCATGAATGCAGAATTGGTTTTGGGTTTCAGTGAACACAAATGAATAAATATCCCCTAAAAACCACAAAGAGAAGTTTACAACGATGTTTAGTACGATACGTACACGTGTCAATACTAGTGGTTTGACTGCTGACTATAAATTTACAAGAAATGTCGTTCTGTGCAACGATCGGAAACACAACTGACTAGAGTGCATCTGTAGTGGAAAAGATACTGCATATACGAATAATAATGAAATAAACGGTACAAGGAACGGACTCACAGAAGGATTGTCCGCTGGTCGATTGATCCTGTTCTTGTGATGTGTGGTTCCGGTCGACGAGGNGTAGAGGAGCTGAAATGGGTGACTGCGACAGTTAATGGACCGCTTGACGACAACTGATAATGCTTGCCTAATTCCTCAGCAACACTGGGAGAACACGTGCATATTTACGAACAGAATTTTGTATTTTGTCTTTGGTACTGAGCATATTAAAACAAGCTGTACAATTAGGTCAAATAAAGTGGATAGAAAAGTAAGACACTATACATCTATGCAATATGACACTAGCCAAATCCAAAGACGAAGCAGTCGTCCATATCATGCATTAAGCATCGAATAATTTTTCACTCACATTCATCTCACGAGAGAAAACATAGGGCTACAGTGATCCACACCGTTGGTAGACGAACTGAGTAGCACCGAAGAAACAATACCTCAACTGGCAAACAATCAGAACTACCTCACTCAGTCACGGCAGGCGCATGAACAATCACATCAATGAATACCATTAGATATCTGAAACCGTCAGTGACTGTGGTGACATCCTTGTCCCTCTGTAACAGTAGGGGCGCACATCTCTGTTATTGGTCTGCGATCATTGCCATGAACGGGTATTAGGTGTCAGGTAAAAACCCAACTCGTCATCAAACAAGCCCTCGGTACCCAACGCAAGGAACGCACATGCGCCAGGCCATAGACGGTAAAGACGACAAAGAGATTGATCACTACCAGACTAACACATTGTGCCAAGCTCTTCACTACGGGCTTCGGGATGTCACTCGTCAAAAGCAGTCAAAGAATTTAGTTTACTCAAGATAGTTCCATTCACCGCAAACTGATCGACTGGTACGAGTTTACAAAGGGAGCCCTTTAAACGTAGAACCTAGGGTAACACTAGATCAAGTACCAACGGTGTGATCTGACCCAAACTGGCTAACAACCAACAAGCTCAAATGTAGACAAGCAACACATATCAACATCGAGGTATACATCACCTAGCAGATTGAAAAACACCATAAAGGGCATACTCAACTCTCAACACTTTCAGCTTTAGTACCACAGCTGCACAGACGACAATTTGTCATGAATCTATAAAGCACTGCAAACCTGTATTGCCCAAATTGAAATTAATGTAACAGTAGTGTCTATTCAACGGAGAGAAGATACGACAAAGGTAAAGAACGCTGAACTGCAGGCGTTCTAGTAACCTAAGTTAGACACTAGTGACGACCATCACCAGCTGCGATAGGTAAATGAATGAATAAATAAGAAGATAAAGTGCCCTTAGATAAACGGGGAGTTTGTTACGAAAAATATACCCGGGTGCTTCGTCGCGGGATCTGCTTCAGGTATGTAAGCAGACCGAGACAACGCAAGCCTAACTGGCATCCTCCAAATGACAAAACTTTCTGACATCCCGTTTCACAACATTCCGACATGTTCGCACCAGCACTTCCCTAACCAAGCCACCCGACCCGGGAAGAACTTCACAGACTATGCCCAAAGGCCACTGATTCCTGTGAACTCTTTCATCTGACACCAAAACAAGATCTCCCTTCTTGAGATTAGGCATTCTATTGAACCACTTGTGCCTTTCCTGCAGCATGTTCAAGTATTTAGATTTCCAGCGTCTCCAAAATGTGTTGGCTAACGCTTGCACTCGCCTCCAAAGCCTAACGCATGATTTTGGAAAGTCACAGACATCCATGAATGTTTGGTTGTCTCCAAGCAATAACAGCCTGTTAGGGGTCAAAGCGTCTTAGTCTTTGGCATTTTCAGACAGTGGCACTAACGGACGGTCATTCAAGATCCGTTCTACTTCAGCGACGAAATTCAACAGAGTTACGTCGGTAACGCTGTGACCACGGGTGATGGCGTGCAAGATTCTCCTTACGGACCGCATCATCCTTTGCCAGGTGCCTCCCAATGACTGGTCTCCGGAGGACCAAAACGGCAATTTATCTCTCGCTCCACCATAAATCCTTTGGTTTTGGTATCTGAGAAAAGATGAACATACGCCCAGAGTTTGTTATAAGCACCTCTAAAGTTAGTTTTGTTGTCGCTCAAAACCACTTTCGGTCTTCCTCGTCTTGCTGTGAAGCGCAGGAAGGATTGCAAAAAGGCGTCGGATGAGAGAGAATGAGTCACTTCAATGTGTACCGCCCGTATATTTAAACAGGTGAATAAACACCTATATAGCTTTTGTTCCGACCGCCCTTGCTTTACGTATTGTGTACCAAAGAATTCCACTCCTACATGCGCAAAGGCATGTCCATCATGAATAACCCGTTCTTAAGGTGCCATTTGCTGACAGCCAGGATGCGCCTGATACCTTCGGGAATGCATCCATCTTCCAATGACACGTCGAACGGCGACCCTGCCCTTTAGTACCCAGATCCTCCTCCGAATACTGGCCAGGACTTGATTACAACCTGCATGACCATCGAACTCATGATGATATCTAATTAGCAAATGTGTGATATGATGCTTGGCAGGAAGAATTACAGGATGTTCAAGGGCCTCTAACATATACGATCATTGTAGACGACCCCCAACACATAAGAACCCATCAATAAGAATGGGGTTCAATCGTTTTATTGCGCTATTTGTTGACATTCGCTGGCTATCTTTGGTCTCACCAGGTAACACGCTCAGTTCCCGGTGAAAACACTCCGCATGTACTAGACTAACAATAGCATCACGACTGCTTCTTAATTCCGACAATGTTAAAGAGCCTACCCTCAACGACATTTGGGTTTTGCCCCTACTTAGGATGAGTAGATATCGTTTGAACCTCAAAATCTATGCCACCGACTTTATCAGTGACAACCACGAAGAGAAACTCTCGAAATAACGTGTATAAGCAACGTTAACAACTGATGCAATTACTCTTTCCTCCCTTACTTCTAAGAATTCGTTTCGGGGATCGGGCATGTATCCGTTTCATAGTCAGTCATGCCCAGTTGACTTAGAAACTGTGGCCCCTGAAACCATAGGATCTGTTCCTTTTCTTGATGCGTCATACCTCGTGAGGCTACGACCGCAGGGTTATCCTTCCCTGGCACCTGTCACCACTGTTCGGGGGTAGAAACTTCTTTGATCTTAGCTACGCGATTAGTGATGAATATCGAAAAGCGGCTTTTATCATTTTTAAAATAATATAAGACGGTTACTGAGTCCGACCAAAGCACACTTGCCGTAGCGATATTTCTATTTCCTTTTGTATTGTTCTAGCTAACTGAGCAGCCAACACCGCGGCCGATAACTCGAGACAAGGTATGGTGACAAAATTCAAAGGAGCTACTCGGGACTTAGCCATAACCAGTACACACTTCGTAGATTCCTGTTTACCGTTGAAGCGAAAGTACGCAACAGCCCCATAGGCCTTTTCCGATGCGCCACTGAACACATGGAGCTCCACCTCGTGATCTGTCTCTGAAGTTCCATAAAGATACCATCTGGGCAACTTAATACTATTTAGCATTTCTAAAATGGCACAACAATGCCGCCATCTGTGCTCATCACTCTCTACCAATTCATCTTACCCACTCGTTTTCTACACTGATCTTGAAACCATAACTTTAAAGGTAATATGAATGGGCCAATCCACCCGAGTGAGTCATAGATAGCTGACAAACGCGAAAACAGTCTTCGCGGGACCGGGGACTCCTTCATTTCAAACTGGTAGATAAATGAATCACCCTCCATGTCCCAAGCCAGACCGATGG